CTTTGACTCCAGAACATTTTCAAAAAATAAACATCCAAACTGTTTACTATAAATCCTGCTTACACACGTGTGTCAATAATACACAGTATAAGACAACAAAGTTCATGCTCAATCATCCAGGTATCAAATCCAATAATTCTTAGTCAGGTCATCTGGACAGTTTCTTTTTTATAGAGACGTTTCGCCCTCTATCCAGAGGGCTTCATCAGTCTGAGGAGTTCCAGTAAACTGTTTCCCCACCAAGCAGTAAACTCCTTAAGAATAAGATAATTTATATTTATATATTTATATTTTCTGTAAAAATGCAGCATAAAGGCAGAGTGACATAAATGTTTTTTTTTTCATTTTTTAAATTAATTGTTAACTGTTTTGTTAAAGGTAAAACAAGTAGAACAGAAGCTAAAAGTGGAAAAACTGTAGCTGACAGCAAAAATGAGCAAAACGTTAGCTAAAGTTGGAAACGGGTGGAATTCCCCCTCTGAGTCGACACAAGTGTTTGCCTCAGGTGGAGTTCAAGTATTTCAGTGTCTTGTTCACAAGCGATGGCAGAAAGGAGCTGGGGGTGGATCGACGGAGTGGGTGGGGCCTCGTCTTCAGTAATGACGCCGTTGTTTTGGTCGGTTGTGGTGAAGAAAGAGTTGAGACAAAAGGAAACATTCTTGGTTGTAGGTTTGGATCATGAGCGAACGAATGATTCCAGATCCAAGCGGCTGAAATGGGCTTCCTTCTCAGGGTGGATGGGTTCAACCTTAGAGAGAAGGTGAGGAGCTCCATCATCCGGGGGGAGCACGGAATAGAGCCGCTGCTCCTCCGCATCGAAATGAGTCAGTTGAGGTGGTTCTGATTAGGATGCTTCCTGGACGTTTCCCTTTAAAGGTATTTTGGGTACGTCTCACTGGTAGGAGGCCCTGGGGCAGACCCAGAACTGGATTGAGGGTGGTGTATCTCCTCTGGGAACGCCATGACACCTCCCACCCCCACCTCCACACCTCCCCAGGTAGAGCTGGAGTCACTGGGGAGAGGGATGTCAGTGTTTCTCTCTTGAACCTGTTGCCTCAACTACAGATAAGCAGTCGAAGATGGAGTCATCAGCTAAAAGTTTAACTTAGTAAAACCATAGTTAAAAGCTAAAATGAGCTCAACTGTAGCTAACAGCTAAAACGACAAAGAATAGTAGTTAAAGTTCAAACTGACAAAAAAGTTGCTAAATGCTAAAATGAGCAAAACCAAAGCCATCCATCCATCCATCCATCCATCCATCCATCCATCCATCCATCCATCCATCATCTTTTACCCGCTTCTTCCATTTTGGGTCACGGGTGTCACTGGTGCCCATGTCCAGCGGTCACTGTGTGAGGGGCGGGGGACACCCTGGTAGTGGTGGAGGAAATACTCAAACACTGTACTTCAGTAAAAGTACAAATAAACAGAAAAAATGTACTCTAGTAAAAGTAGAAGTACCACATTAACATTTTTACTTAAGTAAAAGTGAAAGTACTTTTGTTTAAAAATACTTAAAGTATTACAAGTAAAAGTACTTCCTGAATGTATTACATAATGCAATGGTCTAGATATCTTTAAGTGTACCTACCATACTGTATGTATATTTTCTGTAGTACATTAATAGTGTTGTTTTAATGAACAATGCTGCAGATAATACATGTTTTTATTGTGTTTACTCTGTGACACAGTTCACACTTGGACTTGTGATTCTGTGCAGCAGAACTTCAGGGAGGACCTGCAGAGTTAAATGTCATTAATCAAAATAAGAAAGAGGAATGATTTTACCTTTGAAAGTTTTTATTTAACACAAATCAAAACCAATGTGTCATTTTAACTACAGTAAACACATTTAAGTAAAAGTTGTCTGCCTGAACAAAAGGAGCATTAGACCAAACAAAGGAACAGACTCTGATCATTTCAACTCCAGTTTGTCATCAACTCTAGTTAAAATAATGTCTATTCAACCTTGTAATGGGTCAATAGTGAACAATATTTTAACTTCCTGACACCATTTTTAAAACTTGGACCAGAGTGTCGAGACATTTGGAGACATCTCTTGTCTCCTAACATCCATGAATTGACACATTTTAATGTTGCAGCAAGAATTTCTTGTTCAAGTTCAGAAGAAATTGTTTTCAAAGATTTTTGAGTCCAGTCTGGCTCTTTTGGGAGAGAATATCTGTCCTGTTGTACTGAACAGTCTTTCAATAATCTTTCAATAATCTTTCAACAATCTTTCAATAATATTTCAATAAGGCCATGGGTGGCATGTATCTTCTGACTGACTCTCTGTGGTGGAATCCATTTTAGGTGTGTTAGCGGTGCTGCGGGTGCACCCAGCTCAGTGACATATATACTAGAATATATGTCACTGGTCCAGCTCTTCTTGAAGGTGGGTCAAATGTTACCAGTCCACTTTGCAGTGATTCACTGAACCAGCTCCCCTCTCATCATTGGTTTCTTTCAAACTAACGAACAAATCAAAAATCTGCAACATGAATGTAAATTGTCATGCAACGCATTACAGAAATGTAGTGTAGTAGAAAGTACAGATACTTGATGTAAAATGTAGTGGAGTAAAAGTATAAAGTACCCACATTTAACTCTACTTAAGTAAAGTACAGATATGTGAAAAATGTACTTAAGTACAGTAACGAACTACAAAGTATTTGTACTTAGTTACATCCCACCACTGCACCCTGGACAGGTCGCAAGTCCATCACAGCAAGACCAAAGCTAAAAGCTAATATAGCAGTCCCTCGTTACTTCGCGGTTCGTTTATCGCGGACACGCTCTATTGCGGTTTTTCAAAATAAAAGTGGACATGACACACGATTGGCATGATCTGCAGAATTATTTTCTTTAAAATAAATAGTTTAAAATTATTTAGCACCTGATGCACCTTTGTGCAGCCCACAGCTGCAGAAAAACTTCCTCCTGCAGCCGATCAGCTGTTCTCCATGCGGAGCAGAGAAGTGGGCGTGGCCGAGAGCGCTTGCAGGTGGCTGAGAGCAGCCGAGGCAGAGAGCTGAAATCATGACATTCTGTGCTCTTTTAGAGCGTTTAGAGTTTAGAAACATTGTTTAGAATATTTCAAGAGTGTGGGGGGAAGGGTTTAAAACACCTTATATATATACTGTATATATATATGTATACTGTATATATATGTATACTGTATATATATATGTATACTGTATATATATATGTATACTGTATATATATA